CGGCCCACCCATCCGACCCAGGAGCCCAGACAGGTTTAGGGTTTAGGGTTTAGGGTTTAGGGTTTAGGGTTTAGGGGTTTAGGGTTTAGGGTTTAGGGTTTAGGGTTTAGGGTTTAGGGTTTAGGGTTTAGGAGGGAGCCCAAAAAGGAAACATGAAGGGAGCGGAGGCCATGGATGAAGGGAGCCCGGCCCCTTTGCCGCGACCCACCCATCCAGCCACCGCGGCCCACCTTTTCTCTGAGGAGAGAACCCCAAACCGTACCTGTTTAGGGTTTAGGGTTTAGGGTTTAGGGGTTTAGGGAACTACCGTCATATTCTATCTTCTTCTGTAATGCACTCTAAAAACTATGTAAACATATAAAACAGTAAGAAGCGACTTTGACACACTCTAAGCTATTTTCTCGCACCTTGGCCAACCACCAGGAGCCGTGCTCCTGCACATGCTGCACGAAGGTGTAGGCCTGGGATGCTAGCATTCATTATAGTATGTTGTGGTATGAATTATGGCATAAGGTATTATTTGTTACAAAACATAAGGATAACATACTACTCTTAAAGCATATTATGGCATGTTCGTTCTAGATTCGGGGTGGGGGTTAAGGCTGTTTCAAGAGTGCCGTAGCGAGGGGAATTTGAGGTGCTGGACTTTCATCGGCCTTTAGAGTTTAAGGTTTAGGTTCTGGATGGCGTTTGGCGCAGGCTCGCGGGTTTATGAGGGCTAGGGAGCCTGGTGAATCCACACCTTATGCGGCGGAGGGATGGCGTAAAGACGTTTTCGGCTTCAGTGGAATGGAGCTTGAGCTGTGGAAGCATTTCGGGGTTGAGGGAACAAGGATCGTGTCCTGGGACTTTAGACGATCGCGGGCTTGAGTTTAGCTTCTTGGAAAGAGATTTGGTTTCGGACCTAGCTTAGTTTAAGCGGCTTGATGTTGAAGACTGCCGAGGCATGGAAACCCTACGTTGCAAGCTCAGCGCTCTGGCACCCCCGGCTTTGGGAGATAGGGATTCACACGGGTGGAGGGAGCACGGGTTCACAGAAGAGTGGCTGAAGTAGTGCAGGTTCCGAGTTTTGAGGCTTGGGGTGGCTTACCCCTAAACCCTGAACCCTAAACACTCAACTCCAAACCCTACACACTAAACCCTAAACCCTAAACACTCACTAAACCCCAAACCCTAAACCCTTTTCCTAAACACTTAACTCTAAACCTTGGCTTCCCTTCTTGGAGGGTCGGGAAACTTAGGAAGTAGGAAATAAGTAGACTTATAAGTACCCTACAAAGGACCCTAATTGGGGGTGTAGTACTTATAAGTACCCTAAAAAGGACCCTAATTGGGGTTGTAGTACTTATAAGTACCCTTAAAAGGACCCTGATTGGGGTTATAATACTTATAAGTCTATAAAATAACCATTGACTAAGTCCCCCGACCCTCCAAGTAGAAGGGACCCTAATGTCTGAGATTCCTCGGGTTCCCAATTGGGTGTGAGGCTTTGGGGTTTAGGGGTTAGGGTTTGAGGCTTTAGGGTTTAGGGTTTGAGGTTTTAGGATTTAGGATTTAGGATTTAGGGTTCGGGGCTTTGGGGTTTAGGGTTTAGGGTTTAGGGTGTGGGGATTTGAGGCTTTGGGACTTTGGGGCTTTGTCGCTTCCGGATAAAATACGCATAATATGTAATATACAGTATATAATATGTAACAGATGATACCTAGTGTATGTATATATATATATATGAAATGTTGTCAAATATGTTTTATCATTATATAAGATATAACAAGTACAATATAACATAATGTGATATAATACCATATAATATCTACATATGATGCACTATACTATACATTGCATCTTAGACATTCGATTTTAGGTACTATACATTACATACACTATGTTATATACTATACCTCATCACCTTGTATCTATCGTTATTTATGCATATACTTATATTCTACCTTATATACCTAAACCCTAAACCCTAAACCCTCAACCCTAAAACCCTAAACCCTCAACCCAAAGCCCTAAACCCTAAACCCTAAAACCCTAAACCCTAAATTTTAAAATCCTAAACCTTAAGCCCTAAAACCCTAAGCCCTCAACCATATACCCTAGAACCCTGAACCCTCAACCCTGAAACCCTAAACCCTAAAACCCTGAACCCCAAATACTTCTGCCTGGGAACGTCGGCTGCGGTTGGTGCCAGGAAGGTCGCGGCTTGAGCCTCGGAAGTAGAGGGCACCTCGGCTGCAGAGTTTAGGGTTGAGGGTTTTGGGTTTTAGAGTTTAGGGTTCAGGGTTTAGGGTCTGGGGTTTTAGGGTTTGGG